TAGATAGACGCCCGAGACCGCGAGAGTTTGTCAAATATTTCGAACGAAAGGGGACGCGTCGTTGACGTTTAAATGCCGGTGTACCATGTGACCTGTTAACCGGAAGTGAACTCGTCGCTCGTATTTAACTCTGTGTACCTTCCTATCGGTTCTCGATTTTTCCTTAGAAATTTCCGCGAAGATTCTCGTATAACTTCCACGAGTGTTCGTCGTCGAGAAATGATCCGGTTATCAGGTTTATTAATTATCATTAACGATCGAGCTCGCATTCGCTCTACTTTAACCAGTTAACTGTGTTTGACAACACGTCGATTTTTCATTAACACGTTAAATGCCATGGGGGTCACCGGTGACCCCAACCAAATCGAATTACTATAGTTCACTCAATTAAACCATGATTATTTGAAAATACTTCTATATTATAAATAATGCCAACTAATGTGGTGACATTCAGCTGGATGAACCTGCAAGAATAAGAATGCAATTCAATCGAATGATTTAATATTATATTTTTCCCACTTCAAGTATTCTGTACCATGAAATCGTGCATTTTTCGATTTTATTCGAACGAGAGATTTTTCCAACTGAATTCCACAGTTAACTGGTTAAGAAGCTGTCCGGCGAGAAGAGAGGGGTTGCAAGATCAACCGAGAGAAAAAGGCGGGAAAAAGGAGAGAAAAAAACATGGCATTGTAAACGTGAGAAAGGAAACTTCCTTTTCTTTTCTATTAAGAATACTTGTCACACTATATTTTCCCACAGTATTTTTGTACTGTGATATAAAAATATGCATACACGTGATACGCACGACCGACGATTGTCGCTGTTGCCTTCCTCACGTCAGAGATTTCTCTTTCTCGAACAGCGTCGCGCGATACACGTTCGATAGTCGAACGAATATTTCAGCGTCGACGCGCGAGAAACTCGGAAGACTCTGTGGATATAATAATTAAACCTGTCACAGAAAAATTTAAAAAAAAGGAGAAGCAAGAACGCACTGGTTAACTCGACGAACGAACTTTGACTAACGTCGTCGCTTCCGTTCGAGAACTCGTTAGTCGGAACGATGTATCTCGTTTACAATCGATAGCGTGGACTGGCATACGGTTTCTTTCGAGTGATTCAAACGTCTCGGATAACGTATTGTATTTTCGAAGGGGAAAATCGCGATCGGGACGAGAATCGGAGACGATCGCGAAATCGTTAATTGTCCACGGAAGTGACGGAATTTACTCGGGACAAAAAAATGGAGCCTAGTCGAAGGGAATACGCGAGTGGTGCATGGGGAGCACGATAGAGAAAAAAAATTCGTAGAAGCTAGCCAAAACGCATATAGATGAATGTATCAGCGCTAGGTAAAGAAGAGTGGGTTAAACGAACTACGTAGCGGCTTCTGCGGCCCTCTACATCTAGACAGTTTCCCTTTTTTTCATTGTCGTTGCAATTGAACCGCGGCTGGTGTACGGGACACGAGGGTAGAATCAAAAATTGACGAAAGCTCCCAGAAAGTCATTTTTAGTTTGCAGACAAACAGCGAAATAATGCGTGCTTGTGTATGTGTGTGTGCGTATGCAAGAGAGAAAGAGAGAGAGACTGCGTCGATTCCTGCAAGTGCTTGCTGAACGAGAGAGGGTGAGTTTGAAAAGAGCATGTTTCCTTTTCCTGTTTTCAAAGTTTTCGCTTCGAGAATTTGATCGGCCGAGAGAGTCTTCGACGTGAACGGCCGTGATTGAATTGTAAGGTTAACGATGCGACTCCGCACACGGGAATCATTCACATTCGCGACACTGCGATCAGCAGTTGTCGTCGAGTTTCCTCGACACGGTTGTATTAAGCGTTGTCAAGCTTAAATTTCAAACGAAAGAGGGACAAAATAATAGCGTCGACGGGGGGAAGATTTAACCGGCTTCGCGCGTGTGCAAGCTTCGACGCGAGACGTTCGAACCGCGTAACGGTCAATTTGCGCGGGAACTTCCGTAGGGCAAACCGGCGGCGGATATTTCCGAATATAAATCCAAGCGCGATCCGACGAAATATCCAGCCGGACTTTACACGATTATTCTGCACCCACGAGATTACCTTAATTCGGTGTTGCGCTCGTCGATGACGGCGAAGGTTTCGCCGTTCGTTGTACAAAGTGGACGTGTTGTTGGTCGCCGCTCAGGAACAGCATTGTGTATCGTCAACGTGGATTTTGCTAACGATTTTTTCCCCTAGCCTGCTCGGACACGTGAAACACGTGAAGAAATTTCACCCACGCGACGACGGTTTGCGAATTTTTACCTGATTTTTAAGAATTAACCGATAACGGAGAATAATAATTGTACGAGCCTGATGAACGAACGCTAGAGTGTGAGAGAGAGAGAGAGTACTGCGTGTGACACGTTGAAACGGGAAGTGTTGAGACGAATATTACTATTAAAGTACTGATAGAGAATTAAAGTGAAATCTTATACATAATAATTATTGAAATGTAAATTGTGTTTGGTTGTATTTTGTGTTATTTGCCTCTGATGCTGAATATAATGGAAATTCGATTAAGCCTCGTTGATTGCGTTTACTTTTGCACTATACTGATGCATTGCAATCGACAGTATTTTCTTCGAACACCTTTGCGTTTATTTCCAAGTATTCTCGACGATCGTTCCAACGGATTTATTTGAATTCGAATTTTGGCGCTTCGGTGGCTGCCTCTGATTCGTGTATCTCGAACAATGAGTTTGAAAATAATGGCACGATTCAATGGCGTAGCGTGTACACATGGTGCGCACTAGAATTGCCAGTGTGCGACTCGGTGTATTAGCGAAAGCATTTAGTACTGTTTCAAGTTATTTATTTAAAATGGGTCCTTTGGAGAATGCCAAGAAAATCGCAGCCTACAGAGCGGTTGACGAATACGTAAAGGTAAGCGTGTCTTCGGTTGCACCTCGAGATTCAAAGAGGTTATCCACCGGCGTCCTGTGCTTTGAATTTTCCGTATGATCTTTTTTTAGGATAACAGCGTCATTGGAATTGGTAGTGGGTCTACCGTGATATACGCTATCCACAGACTGGGTAATGATACTTTATCTCACACCTAAGTATGATTGTTTACAGTAAATTCGTTGTATGCACTGCTATGCAGTTCTCGTCACTTTTGCATAATTTTAAAGCATGATCTTTGATCTCGTCACGAGATACAGAGTTGTAACTATTTTCTACGGTAGATGTAGTAAGTGCATTTTATCGTAAAAATACTAGTATTTATTAATGTATATATGATGTGATTGATTATGTAAGCCCCTTGTAAATTAGTAACGCATTTGTAAACAATTATTGTATTTTTCAGCTGAACGTGTTAAAGAAGAAAATCTTAATGTTATTTGTGTTCCAACCTCGTTTCAGGCTCGCCAACTCATACTAAATAATTGCCTCACATTGGGTGATTTAGAAACCTATACAAAGGTAATGAACAATTTTGGTGTTTTGTTATATGTAAAATCTATGTATACTAAGCTGTTTAAACTTTGTTAACAGTTGGATTGTGCAATTGATGGAGCAGATGAAGTTGACTGCGATATGAATCTCATAAAAGGTGGAGGAGGATGTTTACTTCAAGAGAAGATTGTTGCATCCTGTACTGATCAGCTTGTTATAGTAGCTGATTACACGTTAGTAAAAGCTTTAATTATCACTTTCACTTATTTTTATTATCTCGGTTTAATCTTTTTTAGGAAGAATTCTCAGAAGCTTGGGGAACAGTATAAAAAAGGCATTCCAATCGAAGTAGTTCCTATGGCATACACTGCCATTCAAAGACGAATCGAAGATAATTATGGTGGACATGCACAAATGAGAATGGCTTTAGCAAAAGCTGTAAGATGTTTCCATAGTACTCTAGTTTTAGGATCAATCAGAATCACTTAAATTATATTCTTTCCTTATGAGCAGGGTCCAGTTGTAACGGACAATGGCAATTTCATCCTGGACTGGCATTTTCCAGAAGATTTAACCAACTGGAACGAGATTAATATAGCTATTTCAATGATGCCTGGAGTCGTTGAAACAGGTCTCTTCATAAAAATGGCGAAGAAGGTATTCTTTGGGATGCCCGATGGTAGTGTTAAAGAGCAGCTTTAAAGTGTTTCAGTAACACTAACGTGAATGTTGGGAATATTTATGATATGTAATTGTTGACTCAAATCTAGTTTACTTATATGTGACCAGAGGGTTGTTCTCAAGCCTTTTCTAAAGCGATCATGCATTCTCATGTTCATCAATCATCGATTACTCATTTTTCTTTATTATATATTTTTATACATATCACAACGTTGTGTTATACAGACTGAATCTACTCTGTACTTGTGTTTTATCTATTTATACATTGATTTACAAAATGGAAACGGAATACTTGATGTACTTAACGCTTACATATACTATCAAGATTTCCGTCTTAACTAAATAAGACTACTTTAAGCGTGCTACAAGGGGTGCTCAAGTAATTAGACGCAATCGTGTAAAAATAGAATAAGTATGTAACATCAAACGAAGCCAAATAGATATTAAAACGAATTTTTACATACTATGCGAACTCTCTACCTAATCACTGGACTCACGAACCGCCTTAGAACGTTCCATTTGCCTTTTTATCTTATCGTGATTCTGCTATTTTGAATAAACGGGTGATGTAATTATGTAATCGCTTGTTTTTATTATCTGTTATTTTCCACGCCGAACGATTTTATCCGTGACGAATTTTATCTATAAAAAAATAACGCCCGAACAGGGACTCGAACCCTGGACCCTTAGATTAAAAGTCTAATGCTCTACCGACTGAGCTATCCAGGCACTTGATATCCACTTAATTTTCATTCTACAACTTTTTAAATTTATTTTGCACATTATACTTTACAATATTATTGAAAAATTTGAATTTTATTCTACAGTATTTTACCAACAACATAGAGTATATTCATTCCTCCTCACTCAGGCACGTGTAAAGTGATGATCACTAAAAATTATCTCCTTTAAATATTCCCTCATAATTGTTACACTTTTATAAAATCATCCACGCGTGGGGGTTTCTATCGAAGAGAGAAATAGTACTTTTTATGGTAACGTTCGTTCGTTTTATACGCGGGGCGAACTATATATCAACGGTAATACCGCTCTCGACGCATGTCTTATTCATAAGGTATGGACCCGGCCGTGATTTACAATATTAAGTCGATTAACTTAAAATTGGCCGTATATCTTTTACCCTATAGAAAGCCGCTCGAACGACTCCGAGGAGGCGAATAAAATCTGTCGGTATACGGAGCACGGAAAAATTGAATTACATTTATTATAATTATAGCACACCGAAGTAAGCGTGCCTTAACACCGGATAGATCATTCTGATCTATCTTTGATTCCTCTTTCAGATTTATCCCAAAAATGAAGACAAGAGGCCATTCGAAATCTATTCTCAGTTTCTACGCAAGAATCAAGATTGAATTGAAATCTGATTAAAATATCGACTTAAACAAGGTAATCAATTCAACACTAGAACTAACTAAAATCGACTTTTTCTAATTTCTCTATAGAATCTCCGAGGGTGCATCTATCGAGGTTTCAATTAATTCACTTAGATTCCTTTCAGATTTATCCCAAAATTGAAGACGCTTCTCCGAGGAATTACTGAAACAGCCCATTCGAAATCTATTCTCAGTTTCTACACAAGAATTAACATTGAATTGAAATCTGATTAAAATATCGACTTAAACAAGGTAATCAATTAACACTAGAACTAACTAAAATCGACTTTTTAATTTCTCTATAGAATCTTTGAGGGTATGAGGTAACATAAAAGGTATTAATACCCTTCCCGCCGATAGTGTGTTAATAACGAGTGGAAAGAGTGAAAATTTAAATGAACAAGAATCGAGGGTAGGGTCGGTTGGCCAAGGGTTGAACGACCTTATAGTAACTCAGCGGGTTCTGATGCGCGAACGTTGTAAGTACTTAGCCCCGGCCGCTTTCGTTTCATTTACACAGAATCCCTTGTCGTCGGTCAGCCTTTCCGCCAGCTTTTCTCCGTCGGTTCGATCCTCGATTCGACGACTCAACCTTCTGTTTTTCGGTGTTTGCATATTCCCCCGGAATCCAGCCACCGGGAACGCGGTAACGCAGCGGGCGGTTGGAAACCATCGAGGGGTTTCACGTGCCACTTAGATCGCCGAGCGATCGTCCGACGTTTTTCTGGAAAATGGAACGTTAATTGATCCTGCGGAGAATCCGAGAATCAATGTTGTTCATTACCCACGGATCGAAGGAAACTATTTTGCTATTATCAATGTATTATCTTCAGATGAAATTTCCACCTGAAGTGGAATGGCGGATTTTGTATTTCTTACGAATTTTCGATAGTAAGATACTACACGAGCTTGGTGACGACCACTTTGTCGTTAATAATTCATTTGAGAAATAGGAAAATTCTAAGCGTATGTTACGCCTATATATTGCTATTGTTTCTATAGAATATAGTATATTCTGTATTTCTATTGTTTCTGTAGAATATAGTATATTCTGTATTTCTATTGTTTCTATAGAATATAGTATCGTAACGATTGCCCTTCTGTTCTTTACATATTCAATACATCTAATTCAATTCAGTTCGTTACGTCACCGAGAAAATTCATTTTTCAGTTGACGGAGAAAATGCTGAATTCGGACGACATGGCGGTTAAAGTGTTAATCGAATTCACTTGGAATCGTCAGGAAAATGTCCAGCGAAACGAAAGACGAACTCGTAGAAAATGGATGTTACTCGAGTCTCAGAATGAAATCATCGAACAACTCGTTGTAACTTCCTCCAGTGTCTCTCACTGTTCGTCGTTTATCCGAGAAAGTAACGACTCTACCCTTTGGCAAAGGGAAAACGCATCATTCCCATGCGGTTACAGCGGTATGCAAATCGCGGGGAGACGCACGAGGTTGTGCGCGTATCTCCCGCTAAAGAACTGAAAGTGTACAGTTATGGGGACCATTATGAACGGTCATGCGTTCCTCAGGCGCATGTATTTACGCCCTGGGACGATGACGGAAGGAGGGGGATTGTATTTGAAGAGGCGACGCGCGATTTCATCCCTCATACGCGGACCAGGCTGCTCGCACGACCAACAACCCCTTGCCGGAGGACTTGCCCGAAGTTCGAGACCTTGGAGAACAGTTCGATCGAGTGCTTCGAATCTTCTCGTCGTCGGTGTCGACTTCGTCGGACGTTCGACATGAAAGTGAGTATCTCTTGTTCCCGATTTCCCTTTTTCCGTTGCTCGTATCGAATCTCCGACCTTAATCGAGGCGAAGCTTGAAACTGAATTTAAGCGGACATTTCCTTCGCGAAAGGATTCTTCGAATTATTCTCCGTGCTCCTTTGATTAAATAGTTCTCGAAATCCTGGTTGATTTTTGTAATTATCGAAGGATTCTAACGCGACGTTGGCATGTGTTTTGTAATTCAAAGCTTTGGTAATAAATATTGTCTTGTGGATCGTAGGAGGAAGTTTAGAAAATATTCGAATTTCTGATAAAAGTACTGATATAAGAGTTAACGTCTTCTTGATCCGCTTCCCTCGTTGCTCACGAGTTGTCCGTGATTCCCATTAAAAGTAATTATTTGCTCGGTTGATGAGCACGTCGCTCGGAGGAACGATCGACCGGCAGTATAGTTGGACATTAATTAACCGCAGTACAAACCTGATTAAAGTCGTAAGCAGATTACAAACGGTTAACATGTTTGAAAGCTCCGCGTACGACACTTACGTAACACGGGTGCTTATTAGAAATTACGCGTGGCCCGGTAATTATCGGGATATCCGTATCCCGCGTCGTTTAACATTTACGGAGTAACGAGGACAATTTGTTAATTAATACCCCGCTCGCACATCGGACTCTCGTTATCAACCTTTTCTACTGATACACAGGCGATCGCCGTCTGCGTTGCCTGCGTCCTGGCTCTGACGATCCTCGCGGATGCCGAGCAGTCGCAGAATAAGGTGACGATGATTGCTCTAATTCGAAGCAACCCCTTCGAGGACACGGGGAACCACCGAGCAATTGGAACGTCTTATTTTCGGATTTTTATTGAATTATATTCCTCGAGGTTCGAAGGATTTTTTACTCTTGACCCTTTGCACTCGAAAAATTTGTCACTAGAAATATTCAGTTTATTTTTATGAGATAGAAATGACATTGTTTTAACATGTTGAATGCCAAGCAACTCGAATTACTATAGTTCACTCGATTAAACGACGATTATTCGCAAACATTTCTATATTACGAATAATGCTACTCATTGCGGCGATATTCGGTTTGATGAACGCACAATGATAATAATCCAATTCAGTCGAATGATTGAATATCGTATTTTTTCCATTTTGTGTACTTTGCTCTTAAACTAACTTAAGGAATCTATTCACAAAATAAGGGGAACAATGGTATTTTATTCCCACGTTTCACGTGTCGATAGATTACTCGAGACTTGATGTTAAATACGAAATTTTACAATTTTGATGCAATCGAGTGACTGAGAGGCACCTTTGGAGTGCAAAGGGTTAAAAGAGTGTAAAACTAAATTAAAAGATTCGAGGCAAGACGATAGATTCTCCAGTCGCAGAGGTTCTTCCGGTTCTCGAAGAGGTTGAATGCGAATTGAAATTCTCAAGCGACAATCTTCTTTTCCAGATCCAGCAACAGATCTTCGACGCATTGACCACAGACCAGACAGTGAAGATGAAGAGACCCTTCTGCAACGCGTTCACTGGTAAATCCATTCGGAATCTCGATCGATCGTCTCTTAACCCTTTCGCGACGGGCGTCGTGTATATACGGCAGTCACTTGGTGCTTATTGGTTTTTTTGCATTATTATTTTATTTCAATAGCGAACTCGAAATAAAGCTATAAATATATTGGTCGCGAAGTATGGTTCACTTGCGCCGTCGCGAAAAGTGGCAAAGTATGGTCAGTCGCACTGTTGCGAAAAGTAGCGAAGAATGGTACACGTGCGCCGTGAAAGGGTTAACGCTAGAACTGGCAGTCGAAATTTTCACGAATGCCGTGGTCATCGGTGACCTTCAAATCGAATTGCTACAGTTGAATCGATGAATGAATTAAATTGTTGTTTTTTTTCAGGCTGCGGCAGAAAGAGGAGCTTCCTGGAGGACTCCGCTTCGCAGGACCTCGAGCTGACCGGCAGCGTGCGACTTCCGGTGTCCGTGTACAGAGCGCTGTTGAGGGCCGCCGCTCAGAACATGAGGAACACGATGGACCGCGAGACGAACGAGTACCAGCTGCCGGACATCCCGCAAGCGTACCTCCCCAGAATGCCTCCGCACAAGAGGATGGACATTCCGATCGCTTCTCTAGAGTAGCTCGACCGTCGGAACGCGTGGACGATGGCAGACCAGCTGCCATTTTGTGCGAACACGAGAGATACCTTACTTCGATTCCTCGATCCTCCGGACTTCATTTCTTTGTGAACAAATTGCGGATGTTTATGCGAACGTTTGGGCCAATCTAAATCACACTGGAAACAAACCAACTGATCCTCCGTTCCATTCCAAGGATTATTATTATTAGTATTTAGTAAGATTATCATACATTAATCTGTTCGCTACAGTTCAGTCTCAGAAGTTCGTAGTTTGTCGACTCGAGACGATAACGAGTTAGGTAACCGAGATTTAGAGACGCGTTGCTTGTACCTCTGAAACTCAATAAAAGCGTGACGCTACTGTGGCTGTTATTGTAAACTAATCGTTTGGTTATTTGCGACGAAGCGGTGGCTGCGGGTGGTTCAAAGGTAGACGGTCAGCTTGACAGTGACGCCGCCGTTCCAAAGGTACCGGGTGTTCCTCGAAGAGGCGCCGTCCGGGAACGGCGTCTTGGAGAGGAAAACCTGCCGCGGCACGCTCAGCCCGACGCACTCCGGGTTGTCCGGTTCTCCGGTTAATTTTGGACGGTCCCAAAAATATTCCAAGCACAGCGTCGCGGGATCCCAGATCCGGGAGCCTCGGTCTTGCCGCAGCCTCTGCTCGGAGTGATCTAAAACCTAACGGTTCCCGTCGTGACGTACGATCCTCGCCGAGCGTTTCTGCCGTTTCATTACCTCCAGGCGAATTTTATAGGAGAACGGCCATTCGAGGAGGGAGTCGTGAGGACCCCGGGTCAGTCCGGCGGCCATGAAGACAGTGCCGTCAGGGAAATAGCGAGGGGTGGCTTTCATGTACATGCCGTATTCATTCGGAGCCGCGTAAAAGGTCGCGCTGCGCTCCGAACGAGCGACCGTCCAGCTATCCAGCTTCTTGTCGAAGTCCTTTATCCGCCAGTAATAGAAGAAGAAGCTTGAGGATCCTGTAAAAAGATCAGAGCGTAGTACCGAGAATTATTGACGGGAAAACGATAGGGTTTGTTGGGCGAATTGGCGGGGTTAACCTTTTGTGCTTGGAAATTTTCTGGAAGTATTCTGTATTTTTATTGTTTCTGTAGAATATAGTATATTCTATATTTCTATTGTTTCTGTAGAATATAATGTATTCTATATTTCTATTATTTCTATATTTCTATATTTCTATATTTCTATTATGTCTGTAGAATATTCTATATTTCTATATTTCTATATTTCTATTATTTCTATAGAATATAATATATTCTATATTCCTATTATTTCTACAGAATATAATACATTCTATATTCTATATTTTCTAGGACATATTTTATTGAAATATTTTATACAGCGATTATAAGTTGAATACTCTAAACTCTATATTTCTGATTCACCTCTAGAGTGCAAATTATTAAGACCTAGTCAACGCGGTAGCATTAAAGTTTGTAAAGCGAAATGAACCATTCAGATCTCGATGGACCGTGTTGTTGAACGCATCTATCTCAGCTTGCCTCGGGTACCGAGCAGTTTTATCATCCTCGTAGCTTCTCAGATCATTGTTCTCTGTCCTCCTGAACGAGTCTCGTTTGTTCAAGAGCTTATAGAGAATCGTCTTGATCTCTTCCAGTTCTCGCGTCAGGTTTCTCTCCAGACCGCGCAGCCTCTCGTCGATGGCCTCTGAAAAGATCGTTTCCTTTCTGTCGTAACGTGTGATAACCGGCACGAAATTCTCGGACGCGTTTCAATGGAAAATAATTGCCCACTTGCGCTGCAAGCTCCAGTGAGTACTCTGGTGACGGTGGCACGCGCGCTTGCGACCAATTCCTCCGTTGCGATTCTGCAAGTGGCCTGTTCGGTTTCCGTGACCCCCTCGTCATCTGTCGTCACGTTCACATTCGCGAAAGCTGAAATCCACTTCCCTTTGATTCGCTCGTTTAAATTTGTTCTTCATTTAACCCTTTGCACTCGGAAGTTTCTCGGTAGAAATATTTGAACATTTTCTGATGAGATAAAGACGACGTTGTTTGAAGCTAATTTAACGATAATTCACAGATAAATTGACAAAGCTATTTTATTATGCGATACAAAGTTTCATTTAAAATACTAAATATTCAACATTTTCTGACGAGATAAAGACGACATTGTTTGAAACTAATTTAACGATAATTCACAGATAAATTAACAAATTTTATTAAAATACTTCACATTGCGATACGAAGTTTCATTTAAAATACTAAGTATTCAACTTCGTTTCGCTGTATCGAATCAAGTGGCGAGAGTCACCTTTCGAGTGCAAAGGGTCAAATCTCTCCCAGCTGTTCTTTTACTTACTGAGTTTCGGCGCACTCGCGACGCTTACAACACACCAAGTTAAATAGAGCGTACTGAGATGTAAGAACAATAAAACAGACGGTGCCATCGCGAAGTGTGATCCGGTATCGCAAATTATCACCGTAATTGGTATCGTGATTAGTTCTCTTAACGACAAGTTTCCCCTGTTACGAATCGGATGAGCTATTCTACGAAGTAATTTTATGATTTTAAATGATTTTAAATGAAACTTTTGAAGCAGACTTTTTACACACCTATCTATTTCACGACTTGGTCACCATGTAACTGTCCTACGCGTCTTCTGTGATTTATGGACTGTAGCTGAATCCCTACCCCTTCTAACTTCCCTGCGGAATTCGCCTCTGTTCTACAAATGAGAATATTCGAATATTTGTTTTATATTCTTAAAAACAGTGGAACGGATCTCTCTGTAAATATATGATTGGAAGGAATTTGGTATAACATTGATGTTCAAAAGATACAACGTCCGAGGAATATTAAAGAATATTAAAGAATTCAATGTAAAATGGATTAATAAAGAGATTTCGAAGCGTTTGATCCGGACTCTCGGTAAAAATGATAAAAATAGGCGACGACGAACACGTGGACGTTTGAAAGTGGCGCCAACGGCGTTTGGCGGTCTTTTTGACAGCGTCGCGGGAAACGCGTGCGTTCGTTGATGTTCGTCCGGCTTTCGGCCGTTTCTCGTTTCAAATTAAACAGTCGCCAATGACACAGGATGGGCGAGAATGTTCAAGGGACGTTCGTGTCGGAGAAAGTTGCTAAGATTCGGTGGATACACGAGGACTTCGAAGAAGCTTCCAATTTTTTAACCGGCAGTTGGGACGATCCGGTGAGGTTATCTTCGGTTCACTTAACCTATCATCCCTCGTGCTCGTTTGGATTTTTAAATGGTGTACTTTTTTGTTTGTATTTAAATTCATTGATTCTGTACAGGTGAACAAAGTGACTCATTGGACGTTCCAAGTGAACGATGTCGGCGAGTCTTATCCTGCGGTGGTTTCCTCTTACGCGATCCTTGGGGACGTGACTGAAGTTAAGGTGGCTAATATGTGTATATGTATATTGAAAAACATTAATCATTCGCTTTCTTTTTATTTATCATCTGATCTCACTTTTCACAGTTCATTTCGAGCGATTTTTTTGTGGTATCCACATCCATCGGCACTGTCAGATTATTACAGATCCATGAGAACCCATATTCACAATTCAAGGAACGCATGTCCTGGGAATTCATACATAGATTCAAGTATAATTCATTATTGGAAGATTCATGCGTTGTTGTACATTTCCTTGTATATTATATATTACGTGTTTGCAGTAAAACATCCGATTACGCGTCTTGCACTGCATTGTCCAGTTTCGAGCTAGATGTTGTGTCTGTAGGGGAAGACGGGAGGATCAATCTTCTAACAGCTGCACGAAAGGAGCCAGTTAGAACTATTAGTAAATATAATAATCTATAAATATATTATTGTTTGGTATTCTGCTTTGTGAAGTAATATTGAAATCACTTTTAGACGAAGCTGATAGTTGCTCTTTGTATTGTGTGGACTTCTTAAGACACAATGAGATTCTCACAGGAAATTTGAGGGGACACATGAAAGTATGGGACTTACGAAATGACGAGGATTTTCCTGCAATAACATTTATGCTCTCGGATCAGGCGAAAGTATGAATACTTATATGAAATTCTTGTACAATAAATTGTGTATATTCATGGTGCATTAAAAATTGTAGACTGAAGCTACAAGCATTGCGCATCATCCAACACAGAGGCATATTGTTGTTGCTGGTGGTGGTGATGGTAGCTTGAATGTATGGGATTTGAGACATAATACGTATCCAATATCTCAACTCAATGCTCATGCTAAGGCTGTCAGCGAAATACTGTTCCACCCTGACAGACCTGAAAATTTATTTACCTGTTCGAATAGTGGCGAATTGTGGCATTGGAATAACACTCAGCATTCAAAATTAAGCTTGGGTAAATGTTAATTATTGAAACCTGTATAATTCAATATTTCAAACTGTGTGTGTACAATACAATATTTCAGATCCTACGAACACTCATTGGTTGAATACAATTGGGACAAACGGCAAAGTAAATGTAACGTCGCTCTGCAGCGCGATGCACAAACCAATAAACAGTATTGACATAAACAGGTCAACTCTACTTTTCGGATGTGATAATGAAGCAATGTACATTATTCGGAATATAACCCTTTAATAGCTAGACAATTTTAATCGCATTTCTTCTAATTGTAATATATCAAGAAATAAATATCTTTTTTATTCTACGTTCATTCGTTTTCATAGATTAAGATTAGAACGTAGAAATAAATTCGATGTATCGCCACCAATATATACGTTTATTCTTTTTATTTCAAATTGAGCGCGTAAAACAATACGCGTTGTTGCGCCATAATTATTTTGTAACGCTCAATGCTCCATCTCTCGTCAATTTTCCCGAATACAATTACAGGAAGCTGTAGCCAGTTTGCCATTTTGTGACGCCGTGTGTGGAAGTTCGTAAACAGATTTTACTTTGCTTGCCTGCGGAGGGACAAGAATTATGTCAAAACGGAGGATCGAAGTTGTGGATCCGTACGTTAAACGGAAGGCGTGAGTGGATTACTAGATCTTCAATTAAAAACCAAAAATATTCGACATGATATTCTGCCATGTGCATTGTTACCAAGTTTTTTCAATGCTATCGCAAATTGTAACGAACAACTCTTGCACACTCGAAATGGTTTGCGTTAAAAAGTTTTATTTATTATCATTATAAATCCAACAAAATAATTCTTTCGAATTTATGTTCTATATCGTGCTCTGAATCTTTACTGTTGCTGTTGACTTGTTTGGTCAACTCAGGTGTAAAGGTTCTCAACTGAATTTCCTTTTCTGTGATTTAGTGTTCTACGTTAATAATTCAATCGAAAATATCCTTTGTGGTTTCAAGGAGACGCTTAATTTATCCTTCAGATACAGAAAAACTCACTGTGATCATGTATTGGAAGATATTTCGTCAGAAACTGATACTTTGTTAATTGTTTTTTATATATCCAATTTTCATAACCAATCGAGTGTTCTCAACTTTCGTTTTTTAATCCTGTTGATAGTGTAAACATTATTACGTGACAATGACTAAAGTAATTTTTCGATAATATTGAAATCTGTTGAATATTCATTTGTAAACTTGGTATTTCGCAGAGATGGCTCGACATCCAACAGTACAACTGTGCCCTCAACAGCGCCAAAAAGTCAAGTTCAGTTGAACCCTTACACTGGTCTGCCTTATACACCAAGATTTCATGAATTTTATAAAAAACGCATCACTTTACCAGTGTTCGAGTATCGTGCTGATTTTATGAGGTTATTGGCCCAACATCAATGTATTGTACTAGTCGGTGAAACTGGATCAGGTAAAACTACACAGATACCACAATGGTGTGTGGAATATTCAAGGTGTATTGGTATCAAGGGTGTTGCTTGTACGCAACCAAGAAGAGTGGCAGCTATGTCTGTTGCACAAAGAGTTTCGGAGGAAATGGATGTCGCGTTAGGTAAATTCAATATTATATTAGAAAACACAATTGATTATATTAAAGTGTATAAAATACTTTAATCCATGGTTGATGTATTTCATAACTCCTTTATAAATTCTGTTGAATAGGTCAGGAAGTAGGATATAGCATCCGTTTCGAAGATTGTAGTTCTCCAAAAACTGTATTGAAGTACATGACCGATGGTATGCTTCTTCGTGAAGGTATGTCCGACCCTATGTTGGATGCATACCAAGTGATCTTGCTGGATGAAGCACACGAAAGGACTTTAGCTACTGATTTATTGATGGGTGTGTTAAAAGAAGTGATTAAACAAAGACCAGATTTGAAACTTGTGATTATGAGTGCAACATTAGATGCTGGGAAATTTCAACAGTATTTCGATAATGCACCTTTAATGAATGTACCTGGCAGAACGCATCCCGTCGAAATTTTTTATACACCTGAACCTGAAAGAGATTACTTAGAGGCTGCTATCAGGACAGTTATTCAGATACACATGTGCGAAGAAGTAGCAGGGGATTTATTATTATTTTTAACTGGCCAGGAAGAGATTGAAGAAGCATGTAAGAGAATCAAAAGAGAAATGGATAATTTAGGTCCAGAAGTAGGTGAATTGAAATGCATACCATTGTATTCTACACTGCCCCCAAATCTTCAACAAAGAATATTCGAACCAGCACCGCCCACAAAACCAAATGGTGCTATCGGTAGGAAAGTAGTAGTGTCAACTAATATCGCGGAAACATCATTAACTATTGATGGTGTTGTATTTGTAATTGACCCCGGTTTTGCAAAACAGAAGGTAATTTGTATTCATTTTATTTTACTACACTTACCAAACCTTTATAATAATTATTAAATCTTTTAACAGGTGTATAATCCTAGAATTCGCGTAGAATCTCTTTTAGTATCTCCCATTAGTAAAGCTTCCTCTAAACAAAGAGCAGGTAGAGCCGGTCGTACAAGACCTGGCAAATGTTTTAGATTGTACACAGAAAAAGCGTATAAAAATGAAATGCAGGAGAACACTTACCCCGAGATATTAAGGTCAAATCTTGGCAGTGTTGTATTGCAACTGAAGAAACTTGGTATTGACGATTTGGTACGTACAGTTTAGTTCACCACGTGACATCATCCTACTGAACACGTTACTACTTTTTGCTCATTTTTACAGGTACATTTTGACTTCATGGATCCTCCTGCACCAGAAACTCTTATGAGAGCATTAGAACTTCTAAATTACTTGGCCGCGCTAGATGACGATGGGAATCTAACAGATCTGGGCGCTGTAATGGCGGAATTTCCATTAGATCCCCAATTGGCAAAGATGCTGATCGCATCCTGCAATCACAACTGCAGTAACGAAATTCTCAGCATCACCGCTATGCTTTCAGGTAACGTATGCACAAGAACACTCTGGTTTCTTTTCTGTTTTGGAAACGAATACTAGGTTCACGTCTACTTTCTCTATACTTGTTTCTTTTAATCGAGATATTTTTAATGGAATAAAAGCTATTAAGATAAAGTCAGATTCATGGTAAGGTAACATGGTTTTATATTGATGATTGATATTGTATTAGTCCCACAGTGTTTTGTGAGGCCAAATGAATCAAAGAAGGCTGCGGATGATGCTAAAATGCGATTTGCACACATCGACGGTGATCATTTGACATTATTGAATGTGTATCATGCATTCAAACAAAGTAAGTGTTAAGCGAATAATGAAGTTGCATAAGGACTGTCGAATCCAAATGCTTTAATAATCTTCTTTCCCGCAGATTTCGAAGACCCACAATGGTGTTACGATAATTTCGTTAATTACCGGTCATTGAAAAGCGGCGACAACGTCAGACAGCAGTTGAGCAGAATAATGGACAGATTCTGTTTAAAGCGTACCTCGACGGATTTTACGTCGAAAGATTATTACACCAATATCAGAAAGGCGCTGGTGAACGGCTTCTTTATGCAGGTACCTTCATCAGCTCTAATTAGTACCGAACAGAATAAGATCTATCCATGATCGTTCGATACATGTTTTTTTTCCTTCTTCTCTTTTTATACAGGTTGCTCACTTAGAAAGAACCGGTCATTATTTAACCATCAAAGATAATCAAATTGTACAGCTTCATCCGAGCAGTTGTTTAGATCATAAACCTGAATGGGTAATTTATAACGAATTCGTGCTTACGACTAAGAATTATATTAGAACAGTTACTGACATCAAACGTGAGTATTGATTTTAATATGTATAGATGTATATATATATATATATGTATCGATATCATACGTTTTTATTATGCGCACGAATAACGTAGCTTTCAATATTTTTATTCCTTACAGCTGATTGGTTGCTAAAGATAGCGCCGCAATATTATGATTTACAAAACTTCCCACAATGCGAAGCAAAGAGACAATTGGAAGTAATCCAATCGAAGTTAGACTCGAAACAGTATCAAGAAGGATTCTAACCCTTATATATTTTAGATATTTTCAAAAATGGTGTCAAACGGTTGATAATATTGTGATTGACTCTGTTTTTTGGCATTACGCCTGATATACACGTACACAGCAAATGGATACAGAAACATATACACATGCATACATACATACACACAAACACACACAGACACAGTTTTCTTTCTTTTTTTTTCGAACAAAAAGCCAAAATACTGAACGTTTTGAGGCACATCTAAAAGAGTAAAGATCTACTCGACAACTTTCAACTTTAATATGTAAAGAAAAAGACAAATCTTAATGAACATTTCTAATTTTGTACAAGCCTGAACTTGTACGTTTTTTTAGGCTCGTGTGCCGAGAAACTTCTCAAAGTACTTTGTAGACCTCGATTTATCCCTCATCGTAAAAGCAAATGAAAATTAACGTTTAATCTGCTAGAGGCACGCGGAAGACACATATAGTTGGTTGACAAATGATTTATTTATGTACATTAAAAGAAAAGTGTAGTGATTAAGTAATTTTACCAGGTAGAATTTGTTGATCGACGTTTGCACACTTGGAATGTAATACTAGATAAAAAAATAGATTAATTTTTGTATTAAATGTTGATCATGTATGCACGCTCTGAGGTGCATACAATGCCTGATTGCGGATAATCGAAGGGCAATGACTTCACAGAATTTTGAAACCAAATTCTTATGTTCTTTCTTTCAACGACGACAACAACAATAACAACAACATCAACAACAACAATAACAAAAACAAAAAAAAGGTAGTACTGTTTTATGTGTTATGTAATTCACTCTTTTTTCAGTGCGTACAACCAAAAGCATCGTATATTTATTGTGATTATAATGGAGCTAAGCAAACTTGCCACCGTACACAGTACGTTCTCATTTTTGTTTACGGGTAACACCGTTGCACTGTTATACTATATAATTTCCCACGAAAAGTCCCCCTGCAAAATAAACGGTATATTCCTAACGGAGAAAATAGGTAATTGCAATGAGATGCGAGAAAAAACGGAGAAATTGTATTGCGACGAATATTTTAAAACTGCTACACATCATAGGTTTAAAGAAAGTGAATCAAATTATTCTTATTTATAAATACTAGCGTAATGTAAATGGCGAACCACACTTCTCGTGGGAATTTCCATTAATTAAACATTAATGACCAACTTCTAACACCGTATGCGTAAATGAACAGAATTCGAAATTTTCCCGCTTAAATAATAGAACCGAGAACTTTGAAAATAGCGTCGAAGGAAATCGCAGTGAAAATCAATTCTTTACCATCGATGATATACAGTTCCGCTTGTTTTAACACATTCAGTGATAATTTTAGTTCTTGTAAATAAAAATTACACAGGTATTAAAAACAAGTATATACAGAAATCACAGGACTAATGATCGCGAACAGTTTTCATTGTATTGTATCACTTCATTCCAATAAAACATTGAAAATATCACGAATCAAAGTTAACGTTCGTTAATGAATATACAGTGTAAAGGTATCAACGTTCATATATTATAATCGTTAATGATTCCATTTTTCAATTTTAGTTTATTCTTGATTCTAAATATATGAAGGGAGGAATCGAAGATAGAATTTTATTTTTGCATTGGTTTTACGCGTTTAAAGAATAGTATATGTTTTTGTTGGCATCGTTTACGAGTATAAACAATTTATATCGTTAAAAAGACGAATTTCGAATGCTGAGATACGTTTACGTAACAAATGGGAACGTTATGTAGCGTTGTGTCGTTATTAAGACAATTTTTGCGTCATGGGGGGAGACGTTTGAGAACCACTGAGAAAGGCACGAGGATCGTGGTGGAGTTTCATCATTCATTAGCGATCCGCATTTTTTCGTGAAATTCTAAGGAAACTATGGCATCGATCGTGGCACCGGTTGCATTCAGATTCACCCGTATAACGATTGACAGTCTTCGGAACGTTAATAAAAATATTTTACTTAGGTAAGGCTCAGCATTTCTTAATTTGTTTTGATACCGAAACGTGTGTATAACGTGCACACACGTTTTACAAGTTAGAAGTAGAGGTTAGATTCCCAAGTAGCATTCATTTTCTTCCTGATAATATCGGTACAGATTTGCATAATAAAACTATGGTATATATAATGACATTGATTCTACTTGGTTTTCTTTGACTTCTCGTTTAACGTGTAGATTTAGTTGTATAAATATTTTCGGGATTAATAGGTTATCTCAACAGTCGTACGGTTCTCGACAAAGGCAGGAATACAGTACGATTATAGAAGAAAAGAAACCCGATAATGGAGAATTGCCAGAGCCTACGGAGAATGAGAAGAAATTAAAGGGGGACCTCGAACTCCTCAATAAAGAATTGGCGGAGGTTAGAGCTGATAAAGATGAATTAGAGGACAAATACAAAAGGGCGCTTGCGGATGGAGAAAACCTTAGAGTTAGATTAACGAAACAAGTTGACGATGCGAAATTGTTCGGTATTCAAGGTTTCTGTAAAGATCTCTTAGAAGTAGCAGATGTCTTGAGCAAAGCTACAGAAAGTGTACCGAAAGATGAACTGACAAATAAGAATCCACATTTAAAAACATTGTTCGAGGGTGTACAGATGACAGATGCACAGTTGCAAAAAGTAAACTAGGAATTACAGTGATACTAATTATACGAACTAAATGAAGTTTAGTTTGACTTTGAAATTATTTTTTACAGGTGTTCAAGAAGCATGGTCTAATTTCAATAAATCCACTGAATGAAAAGTTTGATCCTAATCAACATGAAGCTTTGTTTCAACAGGTAAGGATGAACTTTTATTTATGTAAGATCAAAGGATGATTTTAATACTAGATTCATAGTTTTAATAGCAAACATTTCTATATAGGAAGTTGAAGGTAAAGAAGCAGGCACAATTGTAGTTGTATCTAAACTGGGATATAAATTACACGGACGAGTAGTAAGACCAGCATTAGTTGGTGTTGCTAAAGGATAGTTTATTGTTGTGTATTAATTAAGGAAGAAATGAGGACCTCCTTGGAAAAGTACTATTCGTTCAGATGTTAAGTACTATATAACTAAAATTGAAATATGAACTGTAGAACATGAATGTTAAAAATCAATACTGAAAGTGAGCAGAAAGCACGAATTTCATGATTAGTACATTTGTTCTAACTGAGA